TGCTGTTGGTCCCCTCCATCACCACGACCTGAAACCAACAGAGAGATTTGGGGAAAGGGGAGGGCAGACCCAAAACGTGATTTTTTTCACCCCAAAAATCCCAGCCGGCGTCGTTACCTGCCCAGGGAACAGAGAGAAATCCCGCAGCTCTGAAAGGTCCAAAGGGATTTGGGCTCCGGCCGAGCGCTCGCGGTCCCCCTCCAGCACTGCAGATTTGGGGTTCAGTTTCCCATTGCTGTCACAGCCAATGCGCCCCAAAACCGTCACCGAATCCTATGGGGGAAGAACGGCCCTTTGCCCCCAAACTGTGCCCCACAGAGACCCCAAATTGGGCCCCACAGAGACCCCCCAAATCTGTTCACAAAGTCTCCAAATTGTGCCCAAAGAGAATCCCAAATCTGTCCCATGGAGACCCCCAAACCGCCCCATACAAACCCCAAATTTTGCCTCATGAAGACCCCATATCTGACCCCCACAGAGACCCCAAATCTGCCCCCCCCCCCCCCAGAGACCCCCACCTGTGCTGGGAGCAGCAGGGAGGCGAAGTCCTCGATGTTGTGGTGGGACCGGAGCGCATCGCCGAGCTCCTCCATCCTCCAGAACAGCACTAAGAGGGGAAAAAAAAAACCCCAAACAACCCCAAAATAAGGCTACGTCACCCCCAACCTGGGGGTCACAGCCCCACATCCCCCCTCACCCTGCATCTCTTCCCATCCCTAAATCCTCAGCCCAAGTTCTCCCCTAGAAGGGACAACGGTGGCATCACGCCCCCCCCCAGAAGACCCCAAAAAGATCCCAAAATTGAGCAACGCTGCCCCAAAATTGGGGGTCACAGCCCCAAACCTTGTATCAACACCCCAAAAACTCCCCAAAAATAGGGCTACACCACCCCAAAGCACCACATTGCACCCCCAGGTCCACCCCTAAATGGGACAGCACCCCAAAAACACCCCAAATAAGGCTCCATCACCCCAAAAAGGGGGATTTGTACCCCAAAACCCCACCCGACCTCCCCCACCTTCCCGGACGTCGGCTGCTCTCTGGAACATGAAGCTGTAGCTGCGGCTCAGGCTGCGCTCAGGGGGGTCGAAGGGTTTTGGGGTGCACTGGGAGCCCCCCCGGCCGCTCCAGGTGACGGCGTGGATGGGGCCGAAGGAGGCGACCACCGAACCCCGATTGGTGCGGGAGGAATATTGGGGGGAGGGGGCGATGCTGGGGGGGAGAGAATGGGGACAGGATTATGGGGACGGCCTCAAATGGCCCCAAATGATGATCCCAAATAATGATGGCCCCCAAACTGATAGCCCCCAAACGTTCCAAGTAGTGGCTCCAGATAACGGCCCCAAATGACGATCCCAAATTGATGGCCCCCAAATAAGCCCCTAAATGTTCCAAATGGCAGCCCCAAATAATGATTCCAAACTGATAGCCCCAAACAGCCCCCAAATGTTCCAAATAGTGGCTCCAAATAACGGCCCCAAATGCTGATCCCAAATGGATGGCCCCCAAATCGCCCCAAACTTCCCAAATAGTGGCTCCGAATAATCCCAAATGATGATCCCAAATACTGGCCCCAAATAACGGCCCCAAACAACCCCAAAAAGGCCCAAACAACTCCCCCCCAAATGACAGCCCCAAAAGTCACAGTGATGGTGGGTTCTATGGGGCACACCGTGGGGGTCGCTGGGCCCCCCCCCATGGGGTTGCAGGGAATTTTGTACCTGGGGCTGAAGCTGTTTGGGGACAGCAGCCCGATGGGGCTGTGAGTGGAGGAGCTCCGTTTGGGATTGGGGTTTTCTGGGGTGGAACTGCTGCGTTTTTGGGATCCCTATTAAAAAAAAAATAAAGGTGTTTTGGGGGAAAAAAAGAATGGGATTTGGGGGTAACGAGGGGTGAGAGGGAAAAGGAGGGGAAAAGGGGAAAAATGGGTTTTGGGGCACAACACTGGGGGGTTGGTGGGGGGTGAAAGAGATGGGATGGGGGGTGGGGGGGAAGGGGACCAAAGTTTGGGGGGGGGAAGTGGGGAGGAACAGGGTTTTGGGGGGCGGGGAAGCTGGAGGGAAAAAAGGAGGAAAATAAAGGGGAATGGGGAATGAGTTTTGGGGGGGAAAAGGGGGAAAAGAGGGAGAATTATGGGGAAAAAAGGAGAAAAATTGGGAAAACCGAAAGAGTTTGGGGGCAGAAAATGGAAAAAGGGGAATTGGTTTGGAGGGGGGGGGGAAAGGGGGAAAAGGGGAATGGGTTTTTTTGGGGAAAAATAGGGGGAAATGAGGGGACTGTTTTGGGGCCGCACTTTGGATGGGGTGGAATAGGAATCCAAGAGCTGCTCCTCCTCCTCCTCATTGAGGCTTCGGTCGTTAAGGAATACGGCGCTCATTAACTAAAGGCTGCCTTAATTGGCATTAATGAGCAGTCGAAGGGCTCAGCCCACTCTGTTTGCGGGATTTTAATGGGAGATGCCCCCCAAATCCACATTTTCCTACTGATAATGCCCTGGTTTTGCTTGTTTTCCTAGGAAGTCCCCCCAAATTTGAGGGATTTCTCACAAGTTCACTCTGTTTAATAAGAAATCCCCCCAGATTTCCCCAATTTCCCACAAATTCCTCTCAAAACAGGCAGATACAGCTCCTGCAACGTGTGCACGTCATGCAGACAGCGGCTGTCCGTCCTGCGGGTCCGTCTGTCCCTCCTGCTCAGCACCTATTGGGGGTGGGAGGCAGATAAGTTCCCCCCAGATCTCCCAGCACCGTTTTGAGGTGAATTTGAGAGATTTGGGGGTCTCACCTCGTGCTCGAAGGTGCTGAGAACCTCGGGGCTGAGCTGGAGGTCGAGGGCTTTGCTGGTAATGAAGGCGAGCAGCTCGTTAGCCAACGTCACCGGGTCCAGTGAGTGGGACAGGCAGAGCTCCAGCACTGCGGGGGGGCACAGAGATGGGGGGGGGGCCCACAACCACGGGGGGGAGGAAGGGGCGTCCTGAAGCCCTGAGCCCCAAAATCAGCTCCCGTGATGCCCAAAGCCCCCCCCCCCAAAACGACCCCACGCTCCCCCCTCCTCCCCCTCACGTTTATCGGTCGCGTCCTCCCCGTCGCATCGCATCTCGAACAGCGCCAACTCACGCAGCACCGCCTCCACCGACACCGGGACCGGCACCGCATCCCGCTCCGGGTCCGCCATCACCGCGGGAGAAAACCCGCGCCGGCGCGAAAAAACCACGTGAGGATGAAGGAGGGGGCGTGGATATGCAGATTTTGAACACAAGGAGCCAATGGGAGAGGGAGAGGAAAGGGAGGGGGCGTGGATTAGGGGAGGGATCCATCCTTATAAGGAGAGGGGCGTGTCTATGCAGATTTCAAACACGGGGAGCCAATGGGAAAGGGAGGGTGGAAGAAGGGGGCGGGGACGATGGGGCGGGGACGAATGGGGCGCGAGCTCTCCTTATAAGGCGAGGGGGCGTGGCCACGCAAACTTTAAACACATTGAGCCAATGGGAAAGGGGGGGAGGAGGAAGGGGGCGGGGCAAAGAGGGAATTTGGCGCCGGGAGGAAAAGCGTCCTAAGTGCCCCAAATCCGTCGGAATGGCCCCAAAATCCCCCAAATCCCCCCGATCCCCGCCAGCAGCTCCACGACCTCCCAGAAACAGCTGAGTTCTCCCCCAAAACCCCCCCCCTGGCCTCAAAGCCTCCCCCAGGACCCCCAAACCTCTCTTCTGACCCCAAAGGCTCACCCAAACTGACCCCAAATCCCCTCCTCTGACCCCAAATCCCACCCAACCCCCCCACAAACACCTCTGCCACCCCAAAATCCTCGCAATCCTCCCCAAACCCACCACGTGACCCCAAAACCCCATTTGGGGGATCTTCCCCCAAATCCCGTTGCCATTCTTTTTTATTATTATTATTATTATTATTCGCAGACACAACAAACAACAACAAAAAAATCCCATAATAAAAAGAAATAAAAATATAAAATCTGCCCCAAAATATACAGCGTCAGTTCGGCACTTGGGTGGGGGGCCCTGAAGCAAAAGCAAGGCGAGTTTGGGGGAAAAAAGGGAGAAAAAGGGGAAAAAGGGGGGGGGTAAGGGGAAAAGGAAGGAAAAAAAGGGCAGGGCTTCGGTTCAATCGGCTCTGGGGTGTTTGTAGGGTTCAGAGTACAAAAATAGGGGCACCCTGCAGGAGATCCCTGATTCGCTGCCATCCCAAAAGCAAAACCCCGCTGCGGGGCGGGAGGAGTGATGGAAATGGGGAGGATTCGCCCCAAAAGGGGGCTGTGGGGTCGGAGTGGTTGTGAGGTCAGCGCTGCTGTGGGGTCAGCACTGCATTGCTTTGGGGTCAGCGCTGCTGTGGGGTCAGCGTTGCTTTGGGGTCAGCACTGCATTGCTTTGGGGTCAGCTCTGCTGTGGGGTCGGCGTTGCTGTGGGGTCGTCGCCATCCCAGGGAGCGCTCAGGCAAACATGGTGAGCTGCAGCCACTGTGGGGAGGGGGGCAATGAGACCCCAAAATGAGCAAAGAACCCCAAAATGTCCCCAAGTGGGGCCAAAATGGGGCCCAATTAAGCCAAATCGGCCCCAAATGCACCCAAATGATCCCAAATGATCCCCAAAAGGAGCCCAATTAACCCCAAAATGGCCCCGAATGACACCAAAGTCATCCCAAATGATCCCTAAATGTCCTGAAATGACCCCATAACTGCCCCCAAAATGAACCTGAAGACTCTAAAATCAGCCCCCAAAGACGCCAAAATAATCTCCAGATAATCCCCAAATGGCCCCAAATAATCACAAAATGAATCCAAAGTGCCCCAAAGTGCCCCAAAATGAGCACCCACCTGCAGCAATCCGAAGGTGACAACGCCATCTTTGTCCCCATCCATAGCCTGGAAAAACCCTTTGGGGGAAAAAAGTGGGATTTTGGGACAGGGAAACAGTTTGGGGGGAATTTGGGGCTTTTTGGGTCGATTTGGGGGGAAAAGATGGGAAATCCTATGCGTTCGAGCAGGAAAAATAGCAAAGAAATGGTAATTTTGAAGGGGAAAAACCCCAAGTCCCATGTTGTGGGTTTTTGGGTCCATCCCATTAAAATTGGTGATTTTTGGTAAAAAACTGGGAAAACCACATCAGATTTTGGGGAGAAAATGGGAAACCCAATGGGGGTTGAACAGGAAAAGCAGGAAGAAACGGCCAATTTTTAAGGAGAAAAGCCCCAAATCCCACATTTTCCCTGCGGGTTCTCCCCTTCCTCGGTCCGAAAGCAGCGATTTTTGGCACTGGGTTGCCCAAAAAGTGTGTTTTTAGGAGGAAAAGGGGCTCACGGAACATGGTCTCCAGGCGCACGAGGCAGCAGACGAAGGAGTCGAAGTCAATGGCCAGGTCTGGCTCAGCATAGCGGGTGATGAGCAGCTGGTGCAGCTTTTGGGTCAGTTTGTAGCCTTTTTGGGGACGAATCGTGATGGTAAAGGGGTGGGGCTTAATGAGGGGTTAATTAAGGATGGTAGGGGTTAATTAATGAGTTAATTACCCGATGCTTCCAGAGCCAATCGCATCTCGTAGGCGCTCATACTGCCTGACTTGTCCAGGTCGAACCTGCGGAACACAGCCTGGGGGGGTGAAATGGGGGGGGCATCAGTGGGACCCCAAAATGGGGGGAATGTCAGTAGGGGGGGCATCAGTGGGATCCCCACTGGAAACCCAGGCCCCACACACCGCCCCC